ATTGTAAAGTCATGAAAAGCCATAGCTAGGAGAATCTCCTATTGACTTGATGGATAACACAGATCTTTCAGAGATTTGGGTGAAAATCATATATATTTTTTTTTTCTCCTACAGCACAAACATCTATGTGCAAATTTCATTAAGAGAGAGGTACACTGAAATAGGGAAAGATGGAGTCCATTTTTATTATGGCTTTGAATGCTATAGAAATGGTTATTGGATGAGATTTTTTCAATAGAAAAATACCACAAAATGTTTTAATAATGCATATGTAACATTTATTTGCTTATTAGTAATTGTTATGAAACTGAAACGCTGTGCCCAGCCTCTCTGACTGCACCTGTTCCTAGATATTTCCAAGAGACTCACACACCAATTTTGTCTGAGTGCCCTGGGTGTCTTTCCCGTTGTTTTGATTGTGCAGCCAGGGCACAGGCAGTTTGCATTCAAATAAGAAGGCACGTTTTGTTCAAAGAGGGAAAGTGATGTCCTTGGAACTTCAACCTTAATGAAATATTTTTTTAAAAAAGACACACTGATTGGAATGGGAAGAGATCCAAAGAGAGGCATCCAAAGAAAGGAGGCAGGGCGTGCAGTAAAGAAAGGAGACACATTCGATCAGCAAACTAGACAGTCAGATCCCAAGCAACTTCTAAAAATCCGTCTGAAGTCATAATAGCACCACAGCATGATGCTGCAATGCCGCTGCCAGTGCAAAGAAAGTTTGTCCTTAAACCTGAGTCCTTACAATTCATTCTGAACGTTCCCACTAGGGCTGAGAACTTTCAGTCCCAAGTTGCTTAGACGATGATTAGTCGAAGTTCCTAGGACTGATTTCATCACAAGTAACATTTCTAGCTGGTTGATTTGGGCATCAGAATGAACTAGTGTCTTCCGACATCTGTACTATAGAGACACCCTTATGCTAAAGCCCTACTCCAGCACCACCCTTACAAAAATAGCACATTTCCGTTCGTGCAGAACGGTGATTAGACTTTCCCAACACAACTCATACTTTTTAAAAGGCGCGTCAGAATTTTAAAGTGCATTAAATAAAGGGCATTGGCACATTAATGCAGCTCTCTTTGAGTAGAGATGCTGCATAATTTCCACTGAACCGTTACGCAAACCTTCAATAAAAGAAAGTTCTCAAAGAAAAAAAAAAGGTGCATCCATCCCCATGTTCTTGATGACGAGAACAGTGTCCTTGAGAAATAAATAACCTCCTATGTATATAAAACTAGGTCTGTAAGGGACTTTGTTTCACACACTGAAGGAGAGTGAAAGTCCCCAGGGAACTGTTGTTTTTCTAACTTACTTAAATACTCAGCTTTTCTGCAGCTTACTGCCTGCCTGGTAGATCTACACAGGACATTGTACTTGGTTAATTATTTTTCTTTAGATAGGTGCTGCTTTCTTCTTCATCTAAATATGCATTTATAAGAAACAAGTGGCTTTTGGTATTAAGGGCTTTCTGTATTAATGGGACCACAGTGCTGTAAACATGCTGGAAAAGTTGCAGGGACAGTGTGACAGGTGGATTTGCTCCCTCTTAGCTTTGGCTCCTGCCTGCTCATCTCTGGCAGCTGTGCAGATGTAGTTGATGCCACAAAAGATAAGAGCTACTTGCATATAGGCTCCTGGCACTGGGGGAGCACCTAGTCTGCAGCTCTATACTATGATCTTCATGCCTGTTCAAGGGACACTGAATATGCAAAATGGGGAGGTGTATAAAACCTGACTCCAACGTAGACAGATTTTCAGGACTGTGAAACTTAACTGAATGGCTGCAAAATCATCAATAGCAGCTGGAGAGACTTGTTGGGTGGATTTTCCCACACAGTTGAGCATATTTAAAATTTTAAATTCTTCACAAAAGGAAACTGGAAAATGGGGGGGAAACATTAGGAGGAAAAATAGTGGCATGCAAACACCTACAGCTTTGGGGTTTGGGTTGTTTTTTTTTAACAGCCTGTTGGGTTAGAAAGAAAGGTCTGTTCAACATCTTTTTGTATTCACTCAGCCTATGTCAGTCATACTTTCATCCAGTTGGAACACATAGAAAACAAAGCAAAAGAATTTTGCCATGAGCAGCATTAATAACAGTATTAGCTTTCTGGATGGTGGATTTACTTCCCACAGAAAGATCTGGTAGCTAAGCTTGCCAGAATGATTAAGCTGGAAGAGTTACTGAAGTTCATAGTTTAAGTAATGGCTTTCACCTGTAGGCTTCTAGCCACCATCAATTTCACCAAGAGAAATGTACAAAATGCTCAGCGGGATATAAGTCAGCCCTTTTCTAAATCACAGGTGGAACCATCATGCCTGGTCACTGACGTTTTTTTAAGCCAGATAATTTCACTGGCTTCTCGCTCTTGAAAGCTGCTGTCTCTCAATTCTTCTTTCTTCCACGTCATTTATTCACTATTGCTGATCCTGATTTACTCTACTTAAATTATAAACTGCCCAAAACTGGACCAAAAGAGATAGGGTGAGAATAGACAGGGTCACTAGAAGCATTTACTGGGCACTGATAGTTTCCAGTCCTGGCTCTAAGGAGTAGGGGGAGCTAACACTTTTCTAGGCAAAATTCAGGCATCAAAGACTCAAACTATTATATCCCAAGGAAAAGAGGTGTCTCCCCCACCCCATTCTTGAGGCACATAACTAAAACAACATGGAAAAACTTTTCCTGTCATGAAAACATGGCAATTTATAAATAAACAGGGAGTATTAATTCCTCATGTGTTGAGGTGATGTGCAGAATTTGATCAACACTGGATGCACAAAATTACAAAAGGAAGAGCTGTGGGCATTTGTTAGCATGTTCTAGTGACATGGGCATATTTTGAAAAATAAAACATAAGAGTCAAACACTTACCACCAAAAAGAGATTCTTTTGAGTTGGCCCTTTAAGATGTTAGAGAGACCGAGGCTCAGTTTTCCTTCCATGAGAAAATGAATTGCACATTTACCTCAAGGGACAGATTACAGATTTTATAATTCTGATAGAACAACGCAGTACAGCTTTAGCCTCCCACATGTGTATATGTTACAGCATAGGGAAGGGGGATGAGGTACACAAGCCCCATTAATAACAGCAGTTGCATGCTTAATTTCATGTGCACTGTACTGAAAAATTACATCTTACTATTTAAAATAAGATTCAGGAAGAGCCTGAGAAATCAAGCACTGTTTGAACAAAACTTCCCAGTCCCAAGCCAGTAAGTTGCTAGTGACTTACATCATTTAACAGAGAAAACTGAGGCATTGTTAGTGGATATCCTCAGGGCAGATTTGATGTGAACATTTTCAAGATTAAGGAACTGCTCCAACAAAGAAAGAAAAATGTTGTCAAACCCTGCAATTCTTTTTACACCCAAGCAAGAGTTACATAGTGATCTGACAGAAGCTTCTCCTTATGACATGTACAGTAGCAAGAAGAACAGGTAAGGCCTGTATTTGTTAGGCCTGAGTTAGACACTCAAATTTGGGTCTGAGTAATTAATTGAGTAAAAGCAGGGACTATGTAGTACATAACCACCAAAACTGACCCTTTCATAAACAGTTCGACAACTTTTCAGCATTATAAATACAACCAATCAAGGTCACTTGAACTATATACACAAGTTCATGAAATTTTGGAGTCCAAAAGTGTCTTGAGGCTTGTCATACTCACAGGTTTTATAAATGTAAATCCAGTATTAATTAGCTTCAAAAACTACTTTAAAAACGAGCAAAAACCCACTGTTACCCAAGAAGACTAACTCATCTCAGGGTTTTTGACTGAGACTTTCATAACTTTTAGTACTAAAATTCTACCTCCTGTGGCAACCCATTGGTCCAGGCAATGGAGCCTACAGTAATTGATTACCCTTTATGTCCCTGAGTTTCTCTCTTCTGTGGGCAGCAGAGCCATTACCTCTCAGTCCTCAAGTCTCAGAAGTTACCTCAGTTTCCTGTTCCCCACATCCAACCTTTGAGTTCCTGCCTATGTTAAATCTGTATACTTTCTTGCCTTTGTCTTCTTTTCATCCCCCAATGCTCGACTCCGGCACAAGCCCTCATCGTCTCTGGCATGGGTTTCCATGAGGTTCTCTTCCTCACGCCATCATTTCTCCTCCAGCACCTCGTCTCTCCGTGGGCCTTTTAAATGATGGTTTTTTTCCTTATTCAAATCTCTTTATTCCATAACTCAATTTAGTGATACATACCCTGGTATTCAATAGCCATGATATATCTCCAATCTATTTTCTAGCTTTATATAGAAAAAAACCATACTAACATGAGATAGAAAAAGTGTGTCCCAACTCTTTACTCTCCATACCTATTTAAGCTAATAAACATAAGTCATTTAACCTCTCTTGACTTTATTAATGCCAGCTGTGCAGTGAGTTATCTTTTTGGCGAAAGGGTTTATCTAATTCATCTGATTGAGGTGAGACAGGCAGGATGTAAAAGCTGTCTCTGCTGACAGTACTGGCTCCCTTCACTTGGGGCAGGGGCAGTAGGTACCTAACAGCAGCATGGAGCTTGGCATTTCTGTCTTCATTTTGCCTCTATATATTTTAAGCTTAAAATTTGGGTCAGAGTCCTACTCAGCTCTTCACATAGGCATGTTGATCACTTAAGAAGTCTATATCAAAAAACTGGTTTATAAGTCTTAAATTTACCTAATGTATCTTGCTTTGAGATTGAGGGTACCAAGATAAGAATAACTAAAATGCTGTCAAGATCTGCAGGGAAATTCATCTGCTAGTTTTCATAATGTCCTGTTCCAGAGCCCCTGGAGTGGTACCTAAAAGTCTGCAGTCATTGCCCTGGACCTACAGTCACCTTGGATTCCAGAAATAACAGAGCCTCTACAGACAGAGCACCCCATGATGAGCTTGCCCTCTAAGCAAGAGCAGATGCCTCAGCACCACAACTGAGGCTGCCTCACTAAGCAGGAGTGATTATCTCAAAGTAACCAAATTGAACTAGAAATGAGACAGTGATTGAACAGACTCCACCCCACCCTAACATCCCCAAAGCTTGCCTCTTCCCTTGTGAATGAGCCAGCCTGATTCACTCTGTCAGTGCTCTGCCCCTTTGTCTCATCTTCTCAAGCTCATGTCCCTTCTCATTTTCTCATGTCTCTCAGTTAAAAGCTTTGCCTGGCCTGGCTTTTATTTCTATTATCAGTGGGGCAAATCAGATGCCATATACAGTATCATCAAGAGTTTCAGTTCTTGAAAAATTATGTTTATGAACCCTCTCTGGACTACAAAGGAGCTTCTTACTCAAGTAACCAGCCCTGAGTTTCCCCAACTCAGTGCATGTTTTCCATGAAGTTCTGTCTGCCTACATTGCCACTTACATTTTCTGTGACTTCCTCTGAAAAAGGCCAAACCACTGCCACCCCTTCCACAGCCTCAGATCTCTGCCCTTCCCTGAATGTCCACACTTCATACCTCCCCTGAGACACTGATGACATGATTCTAACTTTTGTGTTTTTGCTATTACTTTTTTGCTCTTATCAAATAACAAGAATTTCATTATATCATGGGCATGCTGGTTCAGAATCGCCAAAGGTTGAATTGTATCTTCCAAATAAAATATATCATAGTCCTGACCCTCAATACCTTAGAATATGACTTTATTTGGAAATAGAGCTATTACAGATGCAATTACTGAGATGTAGACACAGTGGAATAGAAGTGCTCCTGCGCCAAGTTGATAGTGTTGTTATAAGATCAGGTTATACATACAGGGAGCATGCTAGGTAACAATGGAAGCAGAGACCAAAGTTAAACAGCTGCAAGCCAAGGATTGCCTGAGCCACCAGCCTTGGGAAGAGGCAGACAAGGCTGCCTCTTGACAATTCTAAACAATTAAGACAATTCCAAACCTTGAATTCCCTGCAAGTCTTCAAGGTTTAGAAGCTCCTTACTGGCTTCTTGATTTTGAACGTCCAGGCTTCACAATTCTGAGGCCACACATGTCTCTTTGTCTTAAGCCACCCCATTGTGGTCCTTTGCTATGACTGTCCGATGAGACCAAGAGTCAAACTGCTTGCATTCAAAACCTTCTTCTGCTGTTCTCTGACTGTGTGGCCTTCACCAAGTCAAGTTTCTTGGTTCCTCCACTTCCTTATTTGTAATACAACAGGACAAACATCCATGATGCCTGTAAAGAATCAAAGAATTAACACATGTACAAGGTATAACAGGATCTGGCCATAAGGCAAACTATTTTCTTTTTCATTTTTTTATTCTTCAATGATATGCATAGAGTAAGCATTCAATAAGTGATTATTGAATGAGGGAATATATAAATTGATTAAAGAAAATCAGAATTCATGCAAGTATATCTCTTCGTCTTGTTACAGTTGTTGATGGGATCCAACATGTCACCGTGTCACCCATTACTTGCCTTCAGTTACAGGGGTGAGTATCCCATTAGCCTCAGTAACTGGTTCAAATACTCTCTCCACTGCTTCTTAGAAATGCGACTCACTATTTGTCTGAACTACAGCTTGCTCAACTTTGAAAAGGGAGAGTCTTGGTTTATAGAATTTTAAGTGAAGATTAAGATGCTGCCTAAGAAATTCGAGTTTAATAAATATCAGCAGTGGCAATCATTCATTTTTTACTTATTTTAAAGAATATTTTAATGTTTTCTCAAGTTATATAATAAACTTTCAGATAGCAGCATAAAAAACAATGCCAATTCTGTGGCTGACTGGGTTTCAGTTACCTGATAGCTAAGAAGGTGCTTCTTGAGTGTTGATTTTCTCGCTCTGCCCTCCAGGAGACATTGGGCAATATCTCAAGACATTTTTGATTGTCACGATTGAGACGGGGGTGGTAATAATACTGGCATCTCTTGGGAAGAGGCCAGGGTTGTTGCTCATCATTAAAAATTCACAGGACAGGCCCCAGAACAGAGAAATAGCAGGCTTAGAATACCAACAGTACCAAGATTAAGAAACTCCACTCTGAAACAAGGTGGTTGAGACAATGATAAGACCAGGTGAATCTTGCAGCTTCATTCTGATTTCTATAATATATTATAAATGTTACCCTTTTGAGCTACTCAATTAATTATTTTTATCATTGTATGTTTTAAGTCATAGGGCTTTTTTTCCTGAGTGTCAAAACAGTAATTAAGATAATTTAAGTTCAAGCCACTGTCTTTTAGCCCAGTGGTCCCTGTTACACCTTCATGATTTCTTAGTCCATATGCCGCTGCAGAAGCTTTTGCTTCACCCCAAGTAGCAGCGGCTTGAACAAAATAAAAGATTGCTTTATTTTGCATGTATTTGCCTCCGTTATCCTGGCTCAGAGGCTGTGCCTGGAACAAGCAGCTGCTAGAGGAGTCCAGGGAGACAGACCCAGGCTTCATATGCCTCACCCTAGAGGGGAATGGCTGTGCCAACATTCCATCCTGTACAACAGAAAAGGGAAAAGGAGGAGAAGAAACCTTCCACTAGGGTATGACCCAGAAGGTACCCACATAAGCTCCACTAGTCCCAGACACAGCAACTGAGTGGCCCACTCTCACCTGCCAAGAAGGCTTGCATATATTTTCTGATCTTTCTCACCATGTGCAGGGCTGTGGGAGCTGGGGAGAGTGGTCTTTTCTAAGCAAAAAGAAGATACAGACACTGAGACTCTAGAGTAGCCACTGAGTACTATACTCCTAAATCCTATCAAAATGTTTATAGGAGCCAGGTAAGGCATTGGGATTATGATGTTAAAAAAAAAAAAGCCATATGACTCTCCTTCACAGGGATGACCCTAGGCTGACTAGAAAATCTAGGCATTTGAAGAATGTTCTATAAGCTTCTCCAGAACTCAGATCCAACATGGAAAGACCAGAATGCCACTATATTAGTGTGTGTGTGTGTGTGTGTGTGTGTGTGTGTGTGTTTGCACACATACGTAGGTGGGAGAATAAGGATACTACCCTGGTCAGTTCCTACTCTGGCAGAACTTGATTTTTAAAATTATTTATTTATTTATTTATTTATTTATTTGGTAAAGGGTCCTGCTATGCAGCTCAGACTCATAGTGATCTTCCTGTCTCAGCCTCCTCAGAACTGGGATTATAATCATGAGCTTCCACACACCCGGTTTCAGTGGCTAGCAAGGAGTCCAGGGCAGGCGCAGCATGTGATACTGGGGATCACACCCTGTTCTTGTACTTGCCAGGCAGGCACTGACCACCAAGCTATCCCCCCAGCCCAACCTCTATGTTTTTTGAAGATGCCCAGAGTGCCTCTCCTTCTTATGGAAACAGGGCTCTTACTTCTTTCCAGCATATGCCACTTTCTTGTTCTGCATGGTCTCTTATGCATTAACCACAAGTCTTGGTCACGTATATTCAACACAGAATAAGGAACAACTCAGGTATAGGAAGACACTTGAGTTTGAAAAGAATAGAGACCTGGAGATGGTGCAGTACACCTGTGTGACATCACTCTTGAAAGCAGAAGAGTGGAAGAAGAATCTCAAGCTTGAGAATGGACTAGATAATGTATTAGTCAGATCTTGTATCAAAAATAAGGAAAGAAGGGCTGATGAGTTAGCTAGGCAGCCTAAGCACCTGCCTGGCAAGCACAAGTTCCTGAGATACCCAGTATGGTATGCCATGCCAGTCCCGAAACCAGACATGGTGGGGCACATCTGAAATCCCAGCACTGGAGAGCCTGAAACAAGATCACTATGAGTCCAAACTGCATAACAAGACCCTCTATCAAAAAAAAAGGAGGCACTGGGAATGGAGCTCAGTGTGAAGACTTCCAGTTTAATCCTTACAAATAGTTAGCCAGCTAGCTAGCTAAATATAGGGATAGGGATAGCGATAGAGATAGAGACAGGCAGAGGCAGACAGAGACAGAGACAGAGACAGAGATAGAGATAACTGAGGAGCAAAGCCTTTTATAAATTATTCATTTATTTATTTTAACATTTATTTATTGTGTATGTGTGTGTGTGGCCAGCTCAGCCCACCAGGGGGCAGGGCTGGCTGGCATGTGGTGCTGGGGTTCGAACCGCGGTCTCTATGCTTTGTCAAGCTTGTTCCAAGTAGGTGCTCTAGACCACTGAGCCATCTCTCCAGCCCCGCTATACGGAAATGATTTTAGCAACAGACCAAGAGCCCTAAGTGCCACTGCAGTACCTGGGGAGTGCCCCAGTTGATCTGCGCTTACCCATGGCCTTGACATCTAAGTTCTCAGCTCATGCCCCAAATCGTACCACTAGTCTTGTCATTCCTTCCCACTTCCTTAGTTACAAATCTAGTCATGGCCTCTTACTTAGGTGGTAATAATGACAAAAACTGAAATTTCTGGTGGCTGTCTTTGCCAAGATGTGGAAGGAAACTACCTAAGACAAATTCAACACAGAAGAAAGATTCCAGAGAGGATGTGAGAGAGCCTGAGTCTTGGAGCATTGTTTGCATCCCTCAATCCAGAGATGCTAAGAGCCTGTTCCACGCCCCCACCTCCCAGATGAGCCGATGCATTATCCTTTTTGCTCAGGCTGGTTTCAGTTTTATTTCTGTCCCATGTACCCACGACCTGTGTCACTAGTATCATCTGCACAAAATTCCCATTCTAGTGGAGACATAAAACACACAATCAAACTTCAACCATTTCCATACAGGAACACCCATCATGTTCATACGTAATGACTTGCACACACCTTTCAGCCAAAAGGATAGAATTTATAAGCCTTTGGGCAAAGTAACTACTGCCTTTGGGTGGCCCATTTTGGGTAGATGCTAACATTGGTCTGTCAGATGACAGTATGGGTATCTATCACCTCATGATCGAATCAGAATATTTCTCAAGTCTTTGAAACAAATGTCTTTAATAAAATGTTCAAGGTAGCTCTCCTATTGTTAAGCATTGATTAGATTTTTAAAATAAAATGCTTTTCTTGCAACTAACCTGCCAGACAAAATCTCATTCATTCTATTCTTGGTTGGCCTTGAGTCCTCTGTGGCTCTGTGACTACCGCAGGGCAGTTCGGCATCTAAGGTCCTCGGGAAAGTCTCAATAAAAGCTTCTATTTTAGTGCCAAGGGCAGGAGTCTACAGCCTTGGGCCTTTGCTCAAGAATGTCTTCTTTTCATTTTTTTATTTATTTTTATTTTTTCAATTTATTTTTTTATTAATTTTATTGAGAAACATTCTTTTCAGGGTGAGCCAAGACTAAGGCACCTCAAGTAAGAACGAATAAAAACAGACAATGTACTTTAGGCTTTGGATCTTGAGTGTTTCAAGGCCTGGTTCAGACTCAGAAGTGGATTTGGTGCTGTCTTCAGCATGTTTGAAAGGGATCATCAGAGCCAGTGAGAGAAGTTTCAGTATTAGGACAGATGCTAAATTTTGGGCCCATGTGCTTGAAGATTGACTTGGCTGTGCAAAACCACCAGACCACTCTTGCCAATTTGAAAACACTCAAAGACAGGCCCAGAACCTCTGGCCTGGTGAGACTGTCCCTGGCCAGTCCTTCCTGTTGGCTGCCACAGAGCAAGCAGACAGTGCCAGGATGGTAATGTTCAGCTGTAAACCTGCAGGCAGCCTGCTGGGCTGGGCACAAGCTACAGCCTACATAAACATTTGCCCTTTCCAATCTGAACATCGTGCCCTCCAATTGCAGATGCCCACCTCTCCAAGCTGGGAGCTGAGGGGAATCTCTTCTAGAGTTCTGTCCCCCTTGTACTCTGGATAGCTGATGCATCGTTGTCCCCGGAAAAGCTCCTTAGATTTGACCCCATCTCTCTTTTAATGTCAGTGTTCTCTAGTCACCTGCTGGGGCCTTGGTAACAGTGGTTTATCTATTTATTTTTAATGTTTTTACAGTGTCCTCTGCCAGGACTGATATTATCTATAGATGGGGCTGAAACTGTGAGTCCTGGTTCAAAGATACAGAATATTTGTAGGGATGCAGGGTGCTGACATTCCTGATCAATGGTGTTAGACATGCCTATGAACAATACCAATGATTTGCATAGGCAATTCTTTTCCTGTGTGCCTGACACTATTCTAAGTGGTATCCATATTAAATCATTGAATCATTTCAATACAAAATCAGAGATGAGGTTCAAAGTGGCAAAATGTTTGTTAGAAGTTCCCCCTGATAAAATTCATATTTAAGTGTTTATGAGTAATTGCATATCGGGCCTGCTCTTTTTCAAATGTGCAGAATCTTTGTAAATGCATAGAAGAGATTGAAAGCATTTCGAAGAAGAGGTACGTGCTACAGTGGAGGAAATGGTGCTATGAAAAAGGGGAACTAGCACATGAGCTTTAATGTCTTAAATTATTATAAGTTTAAAGACAATATAGCCCTCATTCACTCACTTTTACTCAAAGTTCCATACCTACTGTTTTCCATGTCTTCATGTCATACTTCCGTATGCTATGGCTCCCCATGAACCCTAAAAAGAAATTAACTTTCACAAATGTCCAGCAGCTGAGGCATAAGCTTCCTTCCACTGCCCTGCATACTACAGCTTGGTATTCTGGACTGTCCTGCTTGTCACCCTTGCAATACAATAATCAGAATGTGGTTTTTGGCAGCAAGCCTCAGGCCTGCTGTAGAGTTCAGAGGAAACATTATAAATATCATATGTAAGTATAAAGCACATAACTTCTATATACAAGACAAATATTAACTTAATGTTCCACTACTTGTCTTCAGGATGCTTTACAGGGATTAATTACATGATGTCTGCAAAGCAGTTTGAGAACCTCCGGGAAAGGTGCTATATAAATACAAGGTATGATTATTTTTAGGAGCTTCTACTGCTGACATTCAGCATAGCATGAAAGAATGAAAAATTATCTCCATGTTCCCCGTCGTGGTAACAACTTCAGCTTAGGGTTTAGAAAACCCATTTATAGAAAGTGCTAAAATTAAAAATTACATTCCTTACATGAGCTCCTCTGTGTAGCTTGATCTAGGAGAGAAGAGACCTTTCTGATCAGAAACTTTTAAAAAAACACCTCAATGGATGGCTCTCTAGACCAAAATAAGAAATTAGAAATGTAACATGTTTTATTTTCAACAAAATATTCTGGCCCTTGGCTCTAGTCCAACTCCCTGCCTCAAAGAAAAAATTATAGTTTGGATGCATGTTGCCTAGCCTGTTCCTAAAGTTCTCCAGAGGCCATCCATCCTCAATCAACATCTGCTACCTCTTTCTTACAACCCTACTTTTGGGCAGTTACTTCTGATACCTTCCTTAAACTCAATCCTTGAACTATCCCCAGTTCCTCCTATTTATGATTAGTGAACCCAGAGCTTGGCCAGCCTATGACTGACTGTTCATGTGCTCAGTATGAAACCATCCTAGTATAGTTCTTGGTGTTCCCTGAAATTCCACCACTCTTTCAACTCTGAGAAAGAGTTCTGTTCTTTGAAGTACTTCCCCCCATATGCCATTCCTCAGTTTCACAAAGATTTTTATAAGTCTACCAAGCTTGTGAAATTAAAGCTACAAGAAGGCAGAACATTTTTTTTCTGCCTCCTTTTTAGCTGGGTGACCTTTTTATAGGATGGGGCACATAGTAACTAGTGGTTTGGTTTGGTTTTTTGAGGACAGATCACTATGGAGCTCAAGCTGACC